TATGAACAGTTAGTAAACACACTAGCAATGTGTGATGGTTATGACCACACAGTACAAATCATTGATAAGGATTTATTTCTGTCACAGATACAGACAGAAGGGCAAGAAATATACAGACCACACAGCTTATGGTATGACGACAAAACCCATATCATCAGGGTTGGGTCATGGAACGACAAAATAGTTTGTGTCTTTATAAACATATTAGGAGAAAGAACTGTGAGACAAGTTTGTTTGTGGTTCATTCATTTGATATGTTTATATACACATCCTCAATAATACATATTCAACATGTTATATCATCTTTGTTACATGAAATTATTACTTGAATATCCTTTACTTTACCTTGTCTTTTATGTTTGTTGGTACGAATCATCTCAACACAAGACAAAATGAAACTCTCATGAATAATTATGTTTTTTTTCTGTTTTTTTTTTATATTGGATATTGTTCTAATCACCTATTTTATGAGATATGACAGTATATGTTGATCTTTGAGACGCTGTACTGATGATTATTTAGACATGTATAAACCCCGGCCCTAGTACCCCGGTCCAGTGATGCTTCATTTAAATGTCTCTTTCACTACAATCTCTTTTACGTATAAATTAAACAGAAATGCATAAAGTTACATTGTGAGGATGCATTTAACTTTTAAATGGCCCTGTTCATTGAGACTTTGCACATGTTCTTACCTGTGATGTTTCAGTCGACTGATCCTCTAATATCATATTCATAAAATATAACACGAAATTTTAACACTAAGTGCGTAATTTTTCTTCATCATATTGATCTAAGGAAAAAATGTCGAATGATTAAGAAAAACAATCTGGGACCAAAAAGACGTTTGTGTTCCTTTTAGGCTCGTTACCGTTTAAGGGGTCTCATTTTTCCAGATTATTATTTTCAATTTCCCAAGTACTTACTTTCTATTGTCAGTATTCATGGATTATTCAAAGAATACGTGGATTTTACGATTGTTGCTTTGGATAAGTATGACGTCACCCATTCCATATCTCATCTGTGAAGTAAATAGTAAGGTACTTTAGTTTTTAAACTATTTATTGGAATAAAACGAAAAAAAGTAATTAAAATTCATCAAGTTAACTTTCTGCAAAATCATGCAAAATCCATGTTAATGCACGAAGCGTAGTTGTTAGACATTTAAAATTGATATATATTTACATTAAAGCATCTAATAAGGCCTTATGTTACATGTATATGTGTCACCAAGTGTACAATTGTAAACTCAGATATGTACTTTCTATTTATTATTCTTGCTGACATAATCCAAGGTGTGCCTCAGGTAAGAGCTTTCTATCACAAAGCATGTAATGTCAGACAGTTGAGTTTATCTGCAGAAATGTGTCTCATTTGTAGGTATTTGGTGAATTTATTTTATGAAATGTTACTTTGGAATAACACCGTATACAACGGGTAATGCAGAGGAGTCGCTTAAAAGTATGGAGGAGTCGTTTTCAGCGTAAAGGAAAGTAGATTTTAAGCGCTTCCGAGTCAGAAGCGATGTTGGTCACGTCTTTTTTTTCGGTATTTGTAAGATGCATTAAAAATACAAATATCCCAAAGGAAAATTGAAATAGTAAAGCTTTGTATTGGTCCTCTGTCCGAGTTTCATATACGTCTTTTATTCTCAAACAATTCGGAATTATTCAACAGATTTCAAATTTTCGGTGATTGAGTGCTCAAAACATGCATGGTTTGCACTATCTACGACTTGCACGGGGCTTGTTGTAATTAAAACGGCAGAAGCAACGTGGATCTTTTAGATACAATAATTAAAACTTTACTAGACTTTGTAAAAACTAATAATTAAGACATTTTCTCATCAGTCAGTAATTGTAACGTAGGGGGAGTGGTCTATTGGAAAACAAAACGCATTGGAGAGTCGCAAAATGTACTCTTGGGTTTGTTTTTATTGCTTTTTTATTCTTTCAATACCTTTTCATTTGCTCGTAGATATCTATAAATCAATACTTAGTTGTTTCCTTACAAATTTGGGGAGTTTCACAATCGTACATCTTTTTAAATTTCGATTTTTTTTTTTTTGCTGTTTGTTTTCCTGATATACTTTATTTCATGGTTTTTTTTTACAATATTATAATGCTACCTATAAAAATCAATGTAAGATCTTTGTTATAAGTGTTATTCCCCTTATGCTTTAAATTCCACTTTGGCTATATATACTTAGACTTTTATATCAACTATCTCCCACCACCCATTATATCCTAACAAACTGTTGTGTGTGTTGCTAATGGGACCAACACAGTTTTGTGCATCAGATATTGACTTATTAATACGTTTGTGATGAGATTTAATTAACAGTTATATAGAACATAATAAGTTCCCTTGTAAAACACCTAGAGTGGAAAAAAAAATATATTGAGGCCGGTCTATTACAAAATGAATAAAAAATTCTAATTTATGATATTAAAAAAAGAAAAAAAATAAAAGTTGAAAAATGTACACAATTTTGAAATACACTACATGTATTGATGAAAGATTTTAATTTTCGTAGAGTTAAATTCACAATTGTGAATATGTGCTGTTAGCTTAGTACATGTAAAAATGTATTTTAAAAAGTAAACTTATAATTTAAATGACGTGCTTAAAATCAATCGACATGCTTTTTCTACTAAAATGGTCTTATCATTCCTACTCAACAAACAATATTATGCGGATACGTTAAGGAAGCATATACATGTAAGTAATTTCTCAGGAAATCTAGACTTTTTAAAGAAAATTAAGTTTGATAAATTACCAAAACCACTGATAAACGTAAACTGTTACTAATTATTGCATACAGATAATAGAGTGTCTTACTCAAAGACGTGCACCACCGCCACAGCATCACGTGACTTCTATTTATAGCGACATTTTCCTTAATAAAAATGCTAACAGAACAACAATACCCAGGAGTTTACAATTTTTATGCGTAAATAATATAGTTGAAAAACATCTATTTTGCCTAAAAATTGCTGCTAAAATCCCACTGTCCGTTCAGTAAAATAATTCTTCCACACATTGGCACGAAACCTTATCCTATGCTTTAAATTTTATACATATGAACCAAGAATTTTCGTAAAACCACGCTTAACTCGGGATTCTAGCTGCACTTTCCAAGTTTGTCAGAAGGCAAACGTTCCATTTGTACAAACCTTATGTTTTGAAATATCCAGCTTATTGTTGTTCTGTTGCATTATTATCGTCACGAATGACAGAGGAAAGGCCGACCAGGATACATATAGAGCTGCCTGTTTTTCGATAAAGAATATAATTGATGAAAATAAATTAGCATACCTGTTTAATCAACTGAACACGCCATATGAATTTCACATAATATTCACGATATTTCCTTTTAAACTCCATTTTACGTATCTTTGTAAATACCGTCTTAACCAAATTCTCTTTACACGACATGATCATTTCCCAAGTTACTTGAAGTACATATATGACATCATCGGTGATAGATCTTAATCAAAATGACAGATACAGCATAAGAAAATAAAAACATTTTATTTTTGTCAATGTTTACACGTATCTATTTATTTTCTGAGTTAAAGTGCATATGTAAATACCAATATTACGAAAACTTGTGTTATAAAATTGACGTCATCGCGCCTACTATGACGTCATAATATAGCACTGATCTAGTCAAGGTAGAATATTTGTATGCTTCCTTAATACCTCTGCGTACAACTTCAAAGTGTCATGTTTTAAACTCTAGATATATATAAACATGCACGCTGTAACTTTATGTACATTACTAATTAGTTTTCAAATTACTTTTTTGAGTAATGGGTCCTGGTGAGAAAAAAATAATAAATAAAAATATTGATCTTAATTATTCGCGTATTAATTTCTTGGAATTTCACAAATGCTACGCAGGGGTGATAAGGAAGCATACAGACTATTCTACCTTGACTAAGTCAGTGAAACATATGGCGTACAAATAGCATTAAGATACTTTACTACAATATTATGCCTTTACTTTACACTTTGTTTCAAATATAACAAAACAAAAGACAAATTAAAAGACACGAACAGGATACCGTACAATCATTACTCGAACACTTTTGACTAACTGTACATATAAATAACGTATAAAAAATATATAAAAGATAGTAAATCTTAAATAGCAAAACAGTTAACGCTGACTATGTTGAGAAATCCCGAAACTGGTTGTTTTAAGATATTTACAGCATTTATATTATTATTTTAGTGAACAATGAAAAACAAGGCTTACCACAGAAAAGTAGGGCACTACATACTGACAATAACAGGTGAAATCTGCCATGACTATTTTATAGCAAAATTTGACAAAATCTAGAGAAGTATAGGAACGCAGGACTGCCGTGTCTGACTGCCGCACAGACTCAAATTTTCTTTCAAGGTCCAGTGATCTGAGGCTTTAAAAGGGTTAAATATGTGCATAATGAAAAACGGAGGCTCACCACAGGCTAATAGAATTTTGCCCGCGTGTTCAAATGTAGCAATTCAAATAATTGTAGATTTACATGTGACAATATCTCCCCTTTTTCCAAAAGTACGCAGTACTTTAACAAAAATAAAAATTTAAAATGTAAGAATCAAACTCTGAAATATCACAACAAGAGGCCTTGGGGCCACAGCACTCACCTGAACACATCGGGCTTGAATTTACAACCCCCCCCTCCAGGCGTTCATCATTTGAACAAACTAGAATCAACACTACCTGAGGATGATTCCATATAAATATCACTAAGCATAGCTTTGAAGTACTTGAAAAGAAGTTTTTAAAAGGTTTCTTTATATATCCCTATGTAAAACTTGGGTCGGCCATTTTGGCCCAACCCTAGCCCCGGGGTCATGATTTGAACAAACTTGAATCTACACTACCTGAAGATGATTCCACATAAGTTTTACTCTCCTGGCCCAGTGGTTCTTGAGAAGGATTTTCTAAAAATATCTCCCATATATTCCTATGTAAAACTTGGGTCAGCCATTTTGGCCGCACCCTTGCCCCGGGGGTCATGATTTGAACAAACTTGAATCTACACTACCAGAGGATGATTCCACATGAGTTTCATCTTTCCTGGCCTAGTGGTTCTGGAGAAGAAGATTTTTTAAAAATGCCATTAAGTTTTAACAAAATCATGATTATCTCCTCTTGGAAAAGGGCGTGGCCCTTCATTTGAACAAACTTGAATCCCCTTCACAAAAGGATACTTTGTGCCAAGTTTGGTTGAAATTGGCTTACTGGTTCTTGAGAAGAAGATGAAAATGTGAAAAGTTTACAACAATGCAAACGACAACGACGACGACGACAGACAACGGACAAATTTTGATCAGAAAAGCTCACTTGAGCCTTCGGCTCAGGTGAGCTTAAAAGGTTTCCCTAAATATTTCTATGTAAAACTTTGATCGGCCATTTTGGTCCCGCCCTACCCCCGGGGGTCATGACTTGAACAAACTTGAATCTACACTACCTGAGGATGATACCACATGAGTTTCATTTTTTCTGGCCCAGTGGTTCTTGAGAAGAAGATTTTTAAAGATTTTTCCTATATATTCCTATGTAAAACTTTGATCGGCCATTTTGGCCCCGCCCTACCCCCGGGGGTCATGACTTGAACAAAGTTGAATCTACGCTACATAAGGATGATTCCACATTAGTTTCATTTTTCCTGACCCAGTGGTTCTTGAGAAGAAGATTTTGAAAGATTTTTCCTATATATTCCTATGTAAAATTTGATCGGCCATTTTGGCCCCGCCCTACCCCCGGGGATCATGACTTGAACAAACTTGAATCTACACTACCTGAGGATGATTCCACATGAGTTTCATTTTTCCTGGCCCAGTGGTTCTTGAGAAGAAGATTTTTAAAGATTTTTCCTATATATTCCTATGTAAAACTTTGATCGGCCATTTTGGCCCCGCCCTACCCCCGGGGGTCATGACTTGAACAAAATTGAATCTACACTACCTGAGGATGATACCACATGAGTTTCATTTTTCCTGGCCCAGTGGTTCTTGAGAAGAAGATTTTGAAAGATTTTTCCTATATATTCCTATGTAAAATTTTGATCGGCCATTTTGGCACCACCCTACCCCCGGGGGTCATGACTTGAACAAAGTTGAATCTACGCTACATGAGGATGATTCCACATGAGTTTCATTTTTCCTGGCCCAGTGGTTCTTGAGAAGAAGATTTTGAAAGATTTTTCCTATATATTCCTATGTAAAATTTTGATCGGCCATTTTAGCCCCGCCCTACCCCCGGGGGTCATGATTTGAAAAAAAACTTTAATCTACTCTACCTGAGGATGATTCCACATGAGTTTCATCTTTCCTGGCCCAGTGGTTCTTGAGGAGAAGATTTTTTAAAAATGCCAATAATTTTTCTCTAAATCATGATTATCTCCCCTTGGAAAAGGGCGTGGCCCTTCATTTGAACAAACTTGAATCCCCTTCACAAAAGGATACTTTGTGCCAAGTTTGGTTGAAATTGGCCCAGTGGTTCTTGAGGAGAAGATGAAAATGTGAAAAGTTTACGACAACGACGACAACAACGACAACGACTACAACGACGACAGACAACGGACAAAGGACTTTATTCGGTAATAACCAATATTTGCCCCCCCCCCCCAAATCAAACTTTGATGGAGATATATTTAATTAAGTTCTTAAACAGGGGAGTATATGCTGACTTCAAAGCACTGAAAATTTTTATAAGTAATGACGCCATATGTACGAAATGACGTCAGAAACATGACGTAAATTTCAGTTTTTTATGAATTTTACAGAAAAATGTACATATTTCGTCGATATTTTGAGTAAAAATCACCAAGCGCATGTGTGTTCAGGATCAATATTTTGATATACTGTGTAGAATGATAATATCAATGAAATATGTCAATATTCTTTCTGAACAAACTTGCGCTCTATTAATTTTAAAGCTAAAATTGTTGAAATTTTGTCCATTTTGTCCTCTTTCTGAAAAAGGATATAAAATCGGATTAGTTTGTGACGTTATAAAAACAAAAATTGTGAATACACTGATTTGACACTATAATATTTTCTGTTAATTTATATTTCTCATACAATTTATTGAATTCAGCACATTTAAGGAAGTTTTCAAAATTTGACTTTTGTGGGGCAAATATATGCAATATACCGCATATAGTTCTTTTGATCAGAAAAGCTCACTTGAGCCTTCGGCTCAGGTGAGCTAAAAAGCACACTATTTATAAAAATGTATAAACGGCTCAAATGATCTGCGCTTACATTCTCTTTTCCCTTAATGACTTGGATTCTAAATCAATATGGCTGGAGACTGAGTGCCCAGCGCATCATCCTAGGAGTTATGATATTTGATTTGTTTAAATACACAAGACGACTATGATCAGTTTCAAGAACAAACTTTTGACCGTATAAATACATCTGAAACAAACGATAGAAGCCTATTAACCAACGGAACGATCGTAATTGCTTTTTAGTTTCTGGTTGTGCTGCCTCTTGTATGGCCTTGACCTTGTCCAAAATTGGTCTCAGTTGTTCATTGCCAATTACATGACCTAGACAATTCAAATTGGGATAGGCAAATGAACACTTACTTGGTTTAGTAGTTAGACCTGAACTGCGTTGACGCTGAAAAAGTTCGTCAAGTACTTTGAGATGTTGTTCAAATGTCTTTGTAAAAATGATTATGTCGTCAATAAAATTGTCAACATTTTCCATATCACTCAAAACTTTTTGCATCAATCGTGAAAAAGTAGCTGGTGCTGTAACTAAACCAAAAGGCATAACACAAAACACAAAATTGAAATTATCCTGCAAACATTTCATCTGTGTCTGGTATTGGCTTCGCACCAAAAATTGTCTGTCTATTAAGAAGCCAAAAGTCAATACAAAACCGATTGGTACCATCCTTCTTTGGAACGATAACTATCGGTGAACAAAAAGGAGACTCAGACGGTTCAATGATTTTTAATTATAAGGATAGATGATAAAAACAAATTTATGTCAAAAAATTTGAAAATAACATTTTGTGTCATGTTTTAATTAGTAAAATGAATAAGTTTCACCGCATGGTTTTTAATTTTTTATTCAAAATTTCACATAAGTGGGATTTGAAGTGAAAAATAGTTGTATAGATTAATAAGGATTGCTTCAGATTGGCATTTTGAACATCACATCACAGAAGGTTGACAATTTCTTTATATTCTAGAAGTTTGTTATTTGCATCAATTGCAATGAAATAAGACCAAAAAATATATACCGATCCAGGCATCCATTTTTGTTTGTATCATCTGTCCTTGACACGCAATGGAAACATCGACTATATTTTGTATTTAAAAATGTATCCATAATCGGGATGGCGATTATTTTTAGTACATTATTTATATCGGATAATTGTAATTATGATTAATAACTACATATCGAGGACGATAAGATTTTATATTTAGACTTGTCACGTGATGCGAAAGGCGAGTGATTTTAGCACATTGATGTTAGATATAAATATTACTAGTGCAAGGACACAATCAAATTAAATTTCGAAGTTTAGTTTATAAATATTTACAACACGTATTGTGGCTTCTAAAACGTGTTGCGATCCTATCTAAATTCTGCAACTTAATTGTTAAAATTATATTTGTATGAACAAATGCTATATTTTTAGCTGGTCAGCGGCATGAAATATTGATATAAATAAATTGTTTCTAAGATTTCATCAGGATCTCTGCACTTTTCAGATACCTTAATAGTTCTAGAGTTGAATTGTAAAAGCTTACTATGATCCATAGAGTGTATGCCCTTTCACTAAATCGATTTATTAAGACCCCCACATCACCCTCCGATGTGCTTGCATACAAATATACGGCAGTGTCAATTAAATACATAATGTACAGAAAATATATTATTATAATAAAATAGTGAAGAAGACATTAAATTCAAATTATTGACCCATAGAATATATGTAAATAATATTTTAATTTAATTACAGGAAACATAGTTTGTTCAGAAAATATCACTTTATCTGTGTCTCATTGCATACAAACTACGTCACGATTTTAGAAATGACATCATATTAACAGATCAGTGATTTGTTTATAACTTGTTATCTGGGATTTAACTAACGACAAAAAAGCACGCTGTAGTTAGTTTTTATGTAGTTTGATTATTTCTTCCTGGTTAAATTAGCAAATCAACTCATTTTGTGGTATTGTTAAGAAATGTTATATGACGTATATTTTGTATGATGTCATTGTCATTTTTTTCCGTGCAAATTAGGCTCCGCCTCCTTTTTGTAACTTTAACTGTGCTGCGCATGTCATTCACCTCTTTGTTAACTGTTTCTTCCAAAGAAAAGGGAACTGAGCGTGTCTTGACATGTATTGGCTTATCACTTACCATTCGGATGTCATGTTTCAAAATATTTGTTCTTCCTGGTTGGTCTTGTAGAACATCATCATACTTGGCTATGATACTCATCAGCGTTTTCCTCTCCTCGGTCGATAACAAATCATTGATATATACAGCTGTGCCTTGGTCAGAATCAACTGTAAGATAATCGTCTAAACTGTCCTTCTTGTGTTGTGTCTCCAACACAATCCACAAACGTAACATTAACTGAATCAAATACACTTTCATCAGTCACAACAAGAACATTTTTACCTTTTGCTCTTTCGGCATATTTCTCCGGAGATTAATATGAAAAGTCTTTACCTTGCCATTCATTTTTAACTGGTAATCTTTACAATTTACCTTTTTCACAACCTCAAAAGGGCCTTTCCATTTAAAAGGCAACTTGTTGTGGTTTGTAGGCATTAAAATAAGAGCTTTGTCATCTACATTTAGAGATCTTTTTCTAGCTTTCTTATCGTAGAACTTCTTGTACCTGGTAGCAGATTTTTCAAGGTTTTCTCTGGCAAGTTGGGCCATGGATTGAGATCTCTCTTTCAAATCTAAAACATACTGATAAGTTGTTTTCACTTTTGGATTTTCTATTTCCTTAATACAAAGTTCTTTCAAAATAGGCACAGGACCTCGTACTAACCTTCCATGGACTAATTCAAAAGGAGAAAATCCCAAGCTTTCCTGCGGTAACTCACTTTCAGCAAAGAAACTGCATTTAAATACTTACCGAATCCCTGGGCTTCTCTGCACAAAGTCGATTTTTAAGATTTGCTTTAAGTGTCCATTAAAGCGTTCGACTAACCAATACAGAAGGGGTGGTAAGGTGTGGTTGTCCACTGCCTCATAGAAATGAGTCGACTTACCTCCTTCATATAAGATGACGTAAATTGAGTGGCTATGTCCGTTGACTTTTTTCTTGTTATACCTACCCTGCAGAAAATTTCCATTAGCCCCTCTCTCTGCAAATCTTTC